CCGCCTGTGGGGACAGTATTGAGTTTCTGCTGTGGTGTTGGTCTTGGCACGCAGTGCCGCGGCCTGGCGCGTAGCCTGACTCCTCTCCACTCTCCAGGGTCTCAGAGGCTTGGCCGTGCCTCTCCCTGCCCTGCTGCGTTCGTCCTGGAAAGTGCTTCCCTTCTTGCCCCACTGACTGTCTGGGGCCTGCACCTTGGGACTGTGCCTTGCACGCCGTCGCATTGGGTGGCCCCTTGGTCCACCTGTCTGGACGTGGCTGTGTGTTCATCACCTTCTGTTCTGTCCTGGGCCGTGTGTGGCAGGCCCTGTTCCGTGGACATCAGGAAGGCAGAGACCACAGCGGAGCCACACCAGCCTGGAGACACCCGGGAGGCCAGGATGCATCTCCCGGGCACCGCGGTTCCCTGGCTTCAGTGCGTCAGCCCCGTGGTGGTTGCCTGTCCCCTCTGCTGCCTAATTCCCTCCTGGCTGGGCCGCAGTAGATTAGCCTAAGTCACAGCGAAAGCCAACAGACAATTTCTTATTAACACTTACACTGCTTTTCTCCCCATTCCTCGGCCAGCTCTGCACACTGGGCTCATGGCAAAGGCTTTCACTTCAGGGACGGCCCTGGTGGGCAGCGTGGGTGTGGTGGACGCAGGAGCAGGAGAACACACAGTGCAGCTTTCTGCACAGAGCCTGGGCTGCCAATGGCGGCTGCCTCTCACAGGGAAGGAGCCTTACCAGGCGCCCTCAGGTCCTGCTCTTTCCTCTGTCTCTCTGACTGTGTTCTGGAAACGTCATCACCGCTGTGCTCTGAGCTGCACAGATGAAGGAACTGAGGCAGGCGTGACCTCTCATGTTCAAGGCCTACTCGGTCCCACTCCCCAGAGGCCCCCAGGGCAAGGCACAGGGCTAGAAAGGTGTGGGCACAGGGGTGGAGAAGCAGCAGAGCAGGGAGGGCTGAGTCTTTATTTCCCAGGGCAGGCAGAAAACCAGTGCAGGCTGGGTTGGTTTCCTTCCTGGTTGTGGGAAGAGCTTCCGGGGAGCTGGAGGGCAAAGCTGATCGAATGTCCAGCCCAAGGCGAGCGAGAGGACGCTGAGCACCACGTCTTGCTCCCTAAGCGGAGCGACAGAGGTCCTGGCTGGTTAAACCGGCCCAGTTCCCCAGGGCTGTGTGCTTTTCTGACACCACCAGGGACACGAAGTTCCGCTGGCCACATCGCACTGGGGTCCCGTGGGTTGGAAGTGGGTGGAGCCGTGGCGGGGCTGACACCGTGGTCTCCAGCCCAGAGAAGCGCGGAGGGAGCTGGGGCTCTGGGCCCGCCTCTGTGACAACAGGTTCCCCAGGGACAGGGCTTCACCCAGGGCCCTGCTTCCTCTGTCACAGCCTGGCTGACGGAGGCTGCTGGTGGCTGCATGGGTCTGAGGGACACATAGAGTTGAACCCGCCCAGCCTGCAGCGGAAGTCGTTCCTGAGGAGACCAGGGCTGAATGCAGGGAAGAAGAGCCTAGAGGTGACGGCGAGAGAGGCACTGGGCCCGACGGACTGGAGTCTCCTCCCTGTTTGTTTGCCCGACAGCTCCCGCTTCAGCTGCTCTCAGTGCTGCCGCTCATTGTGAGGCCCGCTGTGATTTCATGCAGAGCCAAGAAATTTGAGAGGCTCTCGATGGAGCCCTGGCCGGATGCTTTCCCACCCCGCAGACACCTCTCTTCATCCAGCCAGCTCCACACAAGTCCACACGGACGTCCCCCTCGCCCTGGCGGCCTGCAGCCCGGCCGCCCGCCATCCATGGCCAATTATCTCCCCGCCCCACAGCCCTGCCCCATCCGCAGGACCCTCAACAGGCTCTGCCGCCCCTCCCCGAGCACCACTGCTGCGCTGGGTGACAGCCACGTGGCCTCTGTCTTGTGGCCCCGGCCACCCCACGCTTCTCCACCCAGAGATTCCAGAGCGTTTGTCTCAGAGGCCGCGGACTTCCCGGAACCCACACGCGCTGAGCGCGGCTTTTACATTTCTGTCCCAGCTGCCGAGGCCAGCGTCGGGCCATTGTACACAGGCGGTCCCAGGTCCCGACGGGCGTGCAGGCTGGATCATGGGACTCCATCTCCGTGGGCCCCTGCGGTGTGCCAGCACCTTCCAGTCCCAGGATGGTCAGTGAGGAGCCAGGCAGAGATCAGAGCGTGTCCCTGCTGAGCGAGTCAGTCTGGGTGTGCAGGGTTAGGGAAGGCTTCTGCCCGGAAGCTGGATAGTTAGCGTGTGTGTCCACAGGTATCCAGAGGGAGAGAGTCATCAGGGACATAGCCGGTGCAGAGGTCCTACGGCCAGAGGGCACATGTCTAGTCTAGGACCAGCAAGAAAGCCAGTTGGGCTGGACAGAGGGGTCTGGGAAGGCTTAATGAAAGGCCCATGCTTCAGGTGGCTGTGCTGAATGTCCTGCTCTTTCAGCTCTGGGCTGAGGCTTTGTCCACAGGCCAAAACCAGAAAAAAGCCCATGCAGGTTACGGCCTCTGTTGTTATGGCCTCCAGAAACACAGGTGACTAACTCCACTGCATAGTAGGGCGCACGCAGCAGCAGGACCTCCCCTCGCTGAGCCCTGGTGCTGAGCAGGACCCAGCACGCCCAGTGCGAAGGGAAGGAGCCGTGCGGGAGGGCTCAGCCAGGCGCCAAGCACAAGAGCTGACTTCTGAGCCGCATCCAGAGAACTCGGCTCTCAACTCGGTCCTCTTTGGAGAGTGTCCTAGGCAGTGTACTGCAGAAGGCTTTGATCCCTGCCCTGCCAGTAATTACCATGGGATTGCGGGGCCTCTGGAGCGCAGACTGGATGCCGTGGGACTCCCCGCAGGCCGCACCTGCCCCGTGGCATCTGGCTCACAGTGGCGTCAGCTTCCTGTGTGGCTGCACCACGTGGCAGAGAGCCCTCTGCTCTTCTTCAGAGTTGAAGCTTCTCCTGGCCGGAGTCAAGGCCATTTGCTTTCCCTTGGGTGCACCTTGGGGTGTTCCTGCCCCCAGCTGTCCCGAAGAATTTTGCTGTTTCTTTTTACATATATATGTAAAACTTCCTGAAACATATGTGTCTCAGTACCACACTTTGGTGATGCTGACATAGGGCAAGCTTGTATTTAATGTGGAAAATGGATCTGGTGCTTTCAATACAACGAGAGGCTGCAGTTTTGGCTCCCAGGCAGTGGGTCCGGAGCAGTGAGTAGGACGCTGGAGTTGGAGTGACGCGTGGCAGACCCCGAGCGGCCCAGGGAGTGGAGTGGGGGTCAGACTCTGCCGCAACCCAGACAGCACTGCCCGCTGGCGGTGTGTGGATGGTTTTGCATCAGGCAGTAGCGTTTACCCTTCACAGACCAGCGGGACTAACAGGAAGTTGTCATTTACAGTGATGTGTTTTTATCCATTTATTTATTTTGTGGTACTGAGGATTGAACCCAGGGCCTTGCATGTGCCGCTGAGCTACATCCGCAGCCCTTATGGTGTCCGTTTTCCATCTTCAGCACCCGATTGGTAGGCAAGGGCGAGCCAGCTTAACCATAGCGGATTATAATGTCTCCTAATAATTGACAATTTTAGTTGTAATTTTGCTACTTAATGGGACTTGGTTCCATGTCAGCTTCTTAGAAGAAGCGTTTCATTTTCAGGAAGAAATTGCTGCAATACCAAGGGCAGGATTGTGCCGTAGGGGCCGTCACAGACGCCTGTGAAGAGAGGAGACCCGAGTGTGGCACAGGAGGCCCAGGCGCTACGGGAGGCTGCCAGTCAGAGCTGGCGTGGCCTAGAAGCCAGCCTTGCAGGACTGTGTGCCGGGACTGGAGAGACAAAGGGCTCTCGGAACCCGCGCATGTCTGCGTCTGCGTCTGCATCTGCATCTGCGGGAGGAGGGAACTCGAGCTGCACCATGCGGGGCCCAGCCACGCTCTCCTCCCCGGGAGCCACGTCCTGAGTGTGGCTTGTGGCATTAGTGCAACAGCAAATCTGTTCTAATTCCTTCCCTGCCCCTTCCAGGAAAGGCCAAGGTGCTCTTCCTGACCAGCAGGGCTCTCCTCCTCCCCCACAAATGTCACCCGGATGAACATTTGCCGTTCTACCTGCACGAGGCTGGCCTCGGGGAGAGCTTGCCGCAGCCTGCATGGTTCTGTTTGTTTTCCATTGCTGACGTCCACAGCAAGTCCAGGGTGCTTCAGTCAACGGCAGGGCTGCCCCGTCCCCAGGCCACCTGGGCAGGCACTAGGGCCCCATCTGCCCGCCCTTCTGCAGGGTCTGGAGGCCCCAAGACCGGGTTCCCCGGGTGCTCTTCTCCGTGCCCGGCGTGGCTCTGTGGCGCTGGGGGGCCCAGAGGGTGGCCGACCGGCCGGCCGTGGCCCTGCTGCCCCTGCGTCCTCAGCTCTCCCGCCCCGGCCCTGCCCCTCCGGCCTCCCTGAGTGCAGGGCCCTCTGCCACTCTCTCCTCCTTCTCGGCTCCCACAGCCATCCTCTCGCCATCTCTGGGTTCTGCTTCCTGTGATCCTTAGTGCGGGTGTGGATTCGGGCCTCCTCCGTGGGCCAGCTGGGCATGGGGACACCGCTTCAGGGGGCCAGGGGGCCGGGACCCTCCAGCTGCCCCGGCCCCATCTCCACTGCGTTTGCAGGTCGGCCCTGGAGGAGGGCACATCCCACCAGAAGGGGCCGTGGGCTGCAGGCTGCTAGTGCCTGTGTGAGTTCCAGCCTGGCCAGTGGGTGAGCTCGCTCGCGCCCTTCCCTCCTGCCTCTTCCTTCCTCTGCACTTGGGCTTCTTTTTTTGCTTCCAGGGATCAAACTCAGGACCTTGCGTTTGTGAGGCAGGTGGCGGCACCACTGAGCTGCATCCTCAGCCCCACTTCCCCTTCCTTTGGGACTGCACCCAGCTCTCCACTTCCGCCTGCCTTTCTGCCTTTGGTCTCCCTGTTCCTCCCCGCTTCTCAGCACCCTCTTTCCACTTGTTTTCTTCATCTGAGCCCCCGTGCATCTCCTTCCTTGTGTCTTTTTCCTTCCTCAGGGCCGCCTGTCCTTCTTCTTTGTCGGAATCACCTTGATGCTTGGTACAGGAAGTCCCCAACTCCTGTGGGGACAAAGTCGGCCCAGGCTGAGTGTGGCCGGACATGTGCACGCTTGCACAGAGGTGTGTGCGCATGTGTGGGTGTGCATGTGTGTGTGTGTGCTTGCATGCATGTGTTCTGCCTGCTTGTGGCTGTGATTCGCCTGGACACTCACTGCCCACAGTCAGCGAGGTTCCTGCTGGACTCTGCACTGCCTCTGACTTAGGGGGACACACACGCATGGAGGGAGCAGATCTGCTGCTTGCGGGGACACGCACTTCCAACCTGGCTCTGGAGGAGGAGCGCCAGCCCTGTGGGGGCCAGGATGCTCATTTTGCTGCCTGGGGCTCCACACTGTGCTTACCCTTGGATGAGCGCTCAGACAGTGAAAGCCCACACACCTCGGGCCGGCTGGAGCTGAGGCACAGGAGGCTCAGCGGCAGCTGCAAGTCGGGAAGGTGCGGGAGGCCTTGGCTTGGACCAGCAGCTCCTGCTGGGCAGCCAGGCAGGTGGGAGGTGCAGGGAGAGGGGAGAGGGTTTCAGCCTTTGGCCCAGGCAAGTGTGGGGTTAGGACTCGGAAGGCCTGGCTCAGGGACAAGAAACCTCTGGGGCCTCCTGGACCCCAGCTCCACCCCAGCCAGTCGCTGATGCCTGGTGGGAACTCAGCTCAGCGGGCCTTCTTAGGCATCATGAGGCCTGTGTGCAGCACTGGAGACCCAGGGCCGCTGCTGCCCAGTGCACAGACAGAGGAGGAGAGGGGCTTCTACCAAAGATGCGGCCGAGTGGCCAGCAGGAAGAGGGCAGCAGAGCCAGTGGAGGAGGGCTGCCTGGCCAGGCGGACCTGCCACCCCAGCTCGGCAGAAGGGTTGCAAGTGTGAGCCCAGCCTGGGCACCTAGTGACTCAGCGAGACCTTGTCTCAAAATTTAAAAAGATGTTTAAAGGGTTGGGGCTTTGCTCAGGGCTGAGGCCCTGGGGTCAATCCCCAGTACCAGGGGAGAAGGGGTCCTGCTCTCCCGCAGAGGAAAGGGGTCCCGTGGCCTGGGGTTGGGTGCCGTGCCACTTTCTCTCCCCCAGCCAGAGCACCCCACCCCTGCCTCCCACTCTGTACCGCCTCTGCCTCGGCCCATAAGGCTGCAGGGTCACAGTTCTGGTCTGGTCCGGTTCCCATTCGCCTGGAGGTGAAGGTTGGGTGCAGCTCAGGCCTCAGGGTCCTGAAGGTGGCGCATGCGCGGGGTAGATGTTGGGTTCACTCGAGCGAGGTGGCCACAGCCAGAATGTGCTGCTGGGGCCGCCCATGATGGTCCTCGAAGTGGCTATTTCAGCGCAGGAGAAGCCCAGTCCTGTTTCACTTGAGAAGCTGCAGTGCAGAGGGACGCTGGGGGCCCTGTCACCTGGACGTGCAGTAACGACAGTGACTGCTGCTGCTGCTGCTGCTGCTGCTGCATGCTGGTGACAGCACCGGAAGCCCGGTTCTGGCACGTGCTATGGGGGCACCTGGCATGCACCGGGCCATGTCCTGAGCGCTGTGGGTCAGATGTCCTCATCCGCACCCGAGGGAGTTGGTGCCAAGGCTCCCATTTAACGCAGAAGGGAGTGAGGCCCAGAGCAGCCGTCTGGACCCAGGATCAGAGCCTGAGACTGGAGCAGACCTGGGATTCGAACCCTGGACGCCAGCCCTGGGCTGCTGGCTCCTGAGAAGGGAGGTTGTGAATGAACACTTCAATTCTGGCTTTAATAGCTTCCCGCACAAATAGCTAATGGCTCATTCGTGTCATTCCCTGCAAATGTTTAGGGGGTGACAACCTGCTAAAATTTAATATTCAGAGCAGTGCTGCCAGGGCTCTGCAATGGCTTCAGATATAAATCTACCTTAAAGATATACAAGTACAAATTATGCAATTTGATTTTTAAGTGCTTTTTCAGCAATATAAATAATGAAGTGTGTTGGAACTGGCAGGTATAGTGCATTAAACTGAGGGCAATTAAAACACTGTGGTATTTTTAAATGAAGAAAAAAAATAAGTAGGAAAATTAAGAAATCTGAATCTGTGTTTGCAGCCTCCCCCGACTGTTAACTGGGCAGTGACTGCACAGGGGTCAGAATTTACACCTTGGGTTGCAAGTGCGGGGGGCATCACGCTTACCACCCAGGGCGCTGGATTTTGCTTCTGCATAGCAGGCAGATGACGTTTCCAGCACACCATCTTTTCAGGCTCTTCTCTCCTTTGTCTGGAAAGCAGAGGACCAGGGGTACTCGGTGCAGGTGTCAGAGTGGAAGTGATGCCCCGCCGGGTGGTGTCTCTGAGATGTTGGCGATGCAGGGACCGCTCTGGAGCGCAACCTTCAGGCTTGGGGACGCCACGTCCTGCCGGCACTCTCCGAGCAGAGCGTCTGCTCCTTCTGTGCACTCAGCTCGGTCACGGCCTCCCATGGTGCTCTGCTCTTCTCGGGCAGCTCTGGCCATGGGAGAGCCTCAGCGAAGCCCCTGTCCTCCCAGCAGGCGGGACGGGCCCTGTGCCGGTGCACTGAGCTTGCTTGGGGTGCCAGAGAACCTGTGGCGATGAGCCACTGAGAAATGCTGCCGTGTGGGTCAGTGGAAGAGCACAGGAGGGCGCTCGAAGCGGGGTATCCCTGCCTTCAGGATCACATGGACCACGGCGGGAGGTTTCCTGCTGAGCATCTCTGTGGTGAGATCTTACCGTGAGTGCAGAATGCTGTGCAGCGCCTGCACCCCTGGGGTCCGAAGTGTCCTGTGCACTTTGGGTTGAGCATCCTGGTGCTCCTGGGCCTCCTGTTAGGATTCGTGAGTAGCCTCTGTGTGAGTGCCTCTTCCTCCTCTTTCCTTCCAGAACAGAAAGCGGCTTCCCCACTGCTGCAGTGGCAGCCCTTCCCTGACACCAGCCCCCGATTGTGTTCTGTACTTTGCCATCAGATTCTTCGGGTCTGTGTTCATTCTCATCATTCACGTGGTCCTGCGCCAGCTCCTCCAGATGCACCCCGAGTTGAGTGAACGCTCCTCACTTTTTAAAGTTTTTGCAATTGGGTCGTGCATTCTGGTTGGCCATCTGCCATTCCCCTCCAATGGCGGGTCCCCTTTCCCATGAGACGTGTTGGGGTGCATGCCCAGCTCCAAGCACCACCCTTCGGAGCCCCTCGTTCCCACACGTGTTGGCCGACAGGGCCTCCCCCTTGGCCATGGCCCCAGGACTCGGGAGAGGCCTGTGGCCCCTGTGCTGGCTGCTGACCAGCTGCCTTCCCCATCCCAAGGCCTTGGCAGAGCCTAGCTGAGCTGTGGTGGGCAGCGGGAGAGGTGACTGGGCAGTGTCACGTTCAGGGGATGGCGGATGAGATGGGACCAGAGCCGGAGAGGACATCAGCTCGGGAAAGCAGGACACTGGGGCGGGGATTGTTGAGGTCAGCTGGGAAGAGGGACTCGTGGAGTTCTGCCTGACAGAGGACAGACAGATGGATTGAGTCAGAGAGAGGGAGGGAGAAATAGACACTGGCTGCTGTGGAGAGATAAGCCTTGGATGTCCAGTTCCCACAGGGTAAGGGTGTGCTGATCGTTCAGGGCCAACCGCCCGAAGCCTTACCCTGACCCTTCTCCTTGGACCAGTGTGAGGGAGTTTCTGTTCCTTGCTCCACAAGGGAGCAGGCTGAACCCCCTTCGGCTGTTACGGGGGGCCACATCCTCCTGTCCCCCGCCCCTTCCCAAAGGGACCGTCCTCCCCACGAGCGGCTGGTCCCATGGCACTGAACAAGCACCGAGCTTTTCAAATCGTCAACAGCAGAGCCACCTGCGAAAACACACCCTCTCTGAGCCTCAGTTTCTCTGTTTGGTAAAATGGGGTGAGTGAGGGTGTCTTCCCGGGGAGGCTTTGTGACAGTGAAACCCGGAAACAGTTTCTACCTTCCTGTCTTGCCACGTCCGGGCTTCAGTTGTGGCTTTGAGGGCGATGAGAAGACTCGTGCTCGATATCACTTCATCTTTAAGGGTTGTTAGCAAATCAACCTGCAAGTCAAAACCAGCTGTGTGTTTCCATAAATAGTGTTTTTTAAGAAAAGAGCTATTTGCTTATTTACGCATTGCTGGAGGCTCCTGCCAGTCACCGTGGAACAGTTGATCAGCGACAACACAGACCCCCAGTGGCTCCCTGAGTCTGTATGGAAAGCTCACACAGCTTTGTCCAGGATTCTCACAGTCTTGGGGGGGACGAGTGGCCTCCTCATGCCCACAGTGCGCAGTAGCATTCACGGGCACTGCTGGAGACGCACTGTGTGCTTCATCGGCCGGCTTTGTGCCGTCACGTAATCTCGCGTGCTAGGCCGTTCCCTTTCACTGTTGTTACCTAACGAGCTGTGTTTTCCTTGCCTTGAAATCTGCAGTGGATGACACGCAGGTTTAAGCCGCCTCACACCCCGTGTCACTCGAAAGCCTGCTCTGTGCACAGTGACGTCCCCAGAGGACCTGCACCAGGGGGTGCCGCTCAGGCCCGGCCTCCTGGTCTCATCCCCCAGTCGGCCCCCTGGGCCCTTCTGGGCCACCCCAGGCCCGGGCTAGGTCTCCACTGCCACCCCTCTAGTGAGCGATGAATTTCGTCAGCCACTTTGGATGTTTTGTGCAAAAATATCCTTTGTTACCAAAATATCACCCTACAAGTTGTACTGCTAGTGTCTGAAATGCGGAAAAACATGGAGCTGTCTTTTGGAACAAGAATTTAAATAAGCATTTAGAAAATCTGCAGTCTTCACAAGAGCCATGATTTGGTGAAAGTACGGATTTTGGAGGCAGAACTTTGTTCAAACCTCAGGCCTCTTTACCCATAGCTGCATGGCCCTGGACTATCTACCTAGTTTGCCTGAGCGTTAATTTACTGCCCTCCAATCAGCAGGGAAGTGTCCTGCAGAGTCCGGAGGACTGAGGTGACACAGGAAGTGCTTACCATCACTGCCCGGGCCACAGGTGTGGGAAGGAGAGGCCTTCCCAGCCAGGTCTCCCAGCAGGGCCCTCGGGTTTTCAGCCACCCCTCCTGGGCCCAGCACCCTCAGAGGGCCCTGTCAGGTGGCCTTCAGGGCTGTCAC